GTGCTAGAGACAAAGACACAGAGCAAGAAATTAAACATAACAGCCTGCAGCTCAGTGTAGATTTACAGATGGCATTTCTGCCAGTTATGACGGAGGAATTTCTGTCAGGCTGCTCAGTCCGCCCTGGCGCTCTGAGACCCCTGCTGGGAGAGCCCGCACACTACTATGTGGTAGCCGTCAGCTGTCACATTGTCAATTTTACTGTATATATGTAAACAGGGAACCCTGACACAACAACCTACAGTGAGTCTTTCTTCCTAAGATAAAATATAAATGATCATCTTATTTTACCATTAATGAAAGAGCAACCTATTGGATACAGATTTGAAATGCATCTGAAAAACTTCCACCAAATCCCTTATAAAACAAAACCATAAAAATCATGACTGACGCTTTAGGTAAATGCTATTAAACTTCACTAAAGGTGCACCACTGTGGCACATTTCCAACATCTGAGGAGTTCATGGCTCTTCATCAGAGGATAACTCACCGTAACTCTGAGCTACTTCCCAGAAAAAAAAAAAAGAGAGAGAGAGAGAACTTCAAGATTAACATTTTCTATAAATGTGGTTATTTATTGGTTCTCGGTACATCTGAAAACCTATCAGATACCAGAAACCTACAATAAAAAAAAAAAAAAAAAACTGCTAATAAATCTCTCTTTACTGTGAATCACTGTAATAAACAGGCAAAAATGACCTTGGAACCTCCTGTCCTGAAAAACAGTAACGGATTTATCTGTTATTATCTGTGAATTAACCGACTCAGCAGCCCCACAAACTCCTCCAAATATCATCACGAGTTTTCTACAGGAGGGTTGAACCTAAACAGAATGTCAGCACATAAAAAAATAAATAGTCTGCTAAAATGAGGGCAAAATTCTTTTATCAGTGATTGTACCATTAAAAATCACGTTTAAAAAAACTTGGTTTTTCATCTCTTTACATTAGATTGTTTCTCATACTTCTAGGGAGGAATACATAGAATAGCTTTTACAGAAATTACTACCTAAAAATATACAAGCACAGACACAAACATGAGGAGTAAAGCCAACAAAATGATTCTTCATAAAACAGCAGAGTGTACTCAATTTTTTTTAAGAATCTTTACATGTAGCTCCTTGGTCTGCAGCTTTTTAAATTGTGATTAAAAACATTTCAGGGAAACTTAATTTAATACAAAAGTGTCTTTCTTATTTTACAATCCTGACAAAACTTGTTTTCAAAATATTTTGAGTAGCAAATTTGTCTATTTTCTGTTATGTTCTCTGAAGAGAGGACCCCCCCCAGATAGAGATTTCAAGACAAAGCAGATACAACAGATCCAAAGCAGGTGTTTGATAAAAACCTAGTGGGAAAAATGGTTTCCAGTGCGCTGCTTTGGACTCAAACAATCAAACAAGATGTAGCACGGTATTAAAACGCTAGCCTTGTTCTCCCACTTTGTAGCACTGAAGCCAATGGACCTGGTGACACATGGGTTACATATCAAGCATAGACTTACATAAAAGTTATTACCATCACAATGAGAATGACCTAACAGCAATACTTATACTGTACATTAATATACTGCAGGTTTCAGATGTTTTACACTTCGTACATTAGCAATAATAGAAAAGGGAAAAAAAATCAAGTCATAAGAAAAATAGATTGGAGTTAATAGTGGAAAACAGCGCAAAGAATTTCTGGGGTTTTTTTGTTTGCTTGCTTGTTTATTTTTTAGAAATTGTTTACAAAAAACAGCAAAACAAATCTAAAACAAAAAAAACAAAAAATGAAAACACATCTGTAGCATCTGGTGCTGTGGTCCAGATATGCTGTGTACCACCTCTCTCCAGTACCGCAATGTTTTATGCTGTAGCTGTAGGTGAATGTGTTTGTGTGTGTGTGTGTCAGTGTTTGTGTGTGTTTAAGATTTTGCGTAGTGGTTCTCAACTCCGGTCCTCAAGCTCCGGCACTGTACAGGTTTTTGTTCCAACCAGGTCCTACAAAAACAAATAATTGAGTTTTTAAAAACCGAACGTTGAATTTTGATACTAAGAGTGCACACAATTTTCTGCAGCCTGCAAAAACATAAGTTAAATAAAGCTAAGCAGTTCTTCCCTGTGACATGAGCACAACAGAAACAAAGAGGTGCGTTTACAAGGAAAACGCACGCACGAGAGACCCGAGGTTGGAACAAGAACCCACTGACGTGGTCGCCGTGGTGAGCACTCAAACAAGCGGCCACACCAACTTTGGCCCAAACACTGTGGTGAGCGATGAAGGGGGTAAACACACATGCACACACACCGCCAGTCTCACCACCCTTCTAAGAGGACTGACGGGAGCAGATAAGGGCCAAGGCTGAGCACCACTGATCATGTGCAAAAAGTGTGAGGGGGCGAGAGTGGGATTCTGCTCACATTGTCCTTCATGTGACAGTCAATCTGTTATTATCCCTTTCCCTAATCACTCTCCTTTCATCTTAAAAATGGCAGAACGGAACAAAACAACCAAAAGTTAACTGAACACAAGCGTTAGAGGCCACCCTGGCTCATCTCGCTAACGTGTTGGCTCAGGTGGATCCCAGTAGCTTTTAAGCTTGGAAAAAAAAAAAAGGGGCTGGCTGGGACCTAGGCACCCTACTGGGATGACTGGGAGTTGTCATTCTTGCTCTCCTGACTGGAGGGAGCCTTGTTGTTCCAGGGTGAGTGTGCCCCCAGTGCAGGCGAGCTGTTGAAACTGTCCTCATCCTCCAGGCCATTCGCCCCATTGTACTGCGTGTTCTCCAGCCGCGTGATCAGACGCTCGTCCTCGTCACCAAACTCCCCTCCCATCAGAGTGGGCTCTCCCACCATCATCACGTCCTAAAGGGGACAGCAAGGGCCGGTACATATTATCCCCATAATACAGGGGGTTGCGCGGAATGACTGGCTGCACGGGCGAGTTGTAACTAACGTTTTGGTTTTTTCTCCTGTGGTCTAGATGTGATCTAACTGGGTTCAATTCCAGTATTACAAATTAATTTCAACTATCGAAATGCATGATGATTCATTCTGCAAGCTGAGTTTTAGGGACCAAAGGACCCCGATTATTAAAGTCCTAGTGTCCTCTCATTCTGAAACCAACCACAACAGGACAGAGTTGTCGGGACATCTACCCTGACAGTTCCATAGTCCATGTGGCCCTGACTCCCTGGTCCTGTTCCAAGAACCAGGGTTAAGGGGCCCTCCCTACTGGCCAGCAGTGGGCATCCCTGATCCTTGAGTGCTGCTTCACGGGGGGTTTCGATTCCACCTCGGGTCTCGTTCTCTCAATCAAGCAACCAAGTAAGCAAAGACAGCAGTGCTTGTGAATCGTGTGCTCTGACAGACTTAGTGGTAACTCTAAAACCAAGGCAATACAGCGAATTCAGAAAGAAAACCTAACTGTCCCACTGGAATTTAAGGCAAGATAAACCTACCCCATGTCCCCAAAATATATTGGAGACGGAGGTCACTTGTACCCCCCTCTGTACAAACCCATTAGCCTGTGGCCCCAGAGGACCAGGGACTGCCCATTACTGGTTCACATCAGCGGGTCTACTAGCTAATCTACTCCTCCTCAGTGGAATTACTGAAATAAATTCCTATCATCCACCCACCACAACTGAATCCAAACCTCCTGTAGCTATCGCTATCTTGACCTGCTGCTGCACCTGCCCCTAAACACACTGACAAGCCCAGCTACCACCCCCTACACCCATGAATAACTTTCTCACCTCCTTGCCTTTATCTCCAACCCCTCCACCCTCTGTCCTCCCAAGCCTTGCCCTGCTGAATCTGGAGGTGCAGAGAGAGGTCAAGTGGCTGTAATGCTTACAGGTACCTGGCTGGAAAGTGAAAAGCTGTTGGCTGGACTCTTCTTTTTGCTGTTGCTGTTGTTATTGCTGCCTCCACCAGAGCTCACAGTGCTTCCGCCAGACACCTTCCTTTTCCGCCGCTTGTTTGGAGCTTGTCTGGCTGGCTCAGCTAAAGGCAGAGAAAAAGGCACATTTCATAATTAAGTATTTATAAAGCCACTGTTTCTAGGCCTGCTGCAAATTAGGGACTACCATGCAACTGCAGTATTTATTTATATGGACTCTGCAACTTAATGAGTGGAAATGCAACACTGCCATAAAGGCTGCTGGCAATTTCAGAATTGTGTGCGAGTTACCTGGAGGTGCTACCATCCTTTGCCACTTTTGGAAGAGGCAGGTCTTCAGACAGTCTCTAGGGCTCAAGCTGTAGGTCTTATGTCTAGACATCAGCTCCTGCATGGGCTCCAATATCACACATAGCTTTAGCCAAGACACAGGGAGGAACCAAAGAGACATGGCAGAGTATTAGCAGGTTGTTGCATGTGGTGTGCTTGAGATTAACTGATGGATTCATTAAAAAAAAAATGAAATGTATGATTATAAGGACATATGCTTACACGGAGGTAGTTGAGCGTGGAGTTAGACAGCCCACATCTAGTGATATTTTTAGCCAGCTGATCGAGCATCTGGGGATCCTGAATGATTGAATGAAAGAGGTGAGATGAATACGTGTATGTACAGCATGAGTACCAGCAGTGTTTAGGGCCAGGAACTCACATGCATAGCCAAAATGCTCCTTGGTAGGACTTCTCTGTGTTGTCTGATGCTGAAGTGCCACGTCTTGATCCTCATCATGTCATCAAACATGAACTCCAGGTACAGACGGCCCTCCACACAAACCTTATCCACAGGGGACAGATAAGGTTAGGCATTAAAGCGCCCTTAACAGAAAGTGGAAGGAAGACTAAACTACTGTCATTAACTGCACCTGTGTGAACATAGGTTTGCCGTTCTGGGTCACCATGGTGCACTGGTCACAGTCGAGAGACACAAAGTTACTGTGGAAGGACTCCTTTGGATGTTTCAAAACATAGAACAACTCAGTGGCACCCCCCTCAAAAATACTTCGAAAGTAACGTGGAATCAGTGTCCTGCCGATGGCTGTAGACAAAAACGATCATTTAATCAGTAAAACAAACTAAGTTATATATTATAAAACAATACAAATACAACAACAGGTGTACTTGCTTAACATATACACTTAAAATTTGAAAATATCTGAAACCTGAAAAAAGATTTCTGCATTTCCTTAAAAATCTAAAACACTTACTGTATCGTTTAGGTCCATCTTCCAGACAGAAAGTGATGGTGAGCATTGCGTCATCTTCAAAAAACTCAGTTGTGAAGGCATCCCACCAGAGATTGTCACAGTCCTGACAGGAGACAAACCATTAGCCTCAGTTTTTCCTTGACACAAGAGGAAATTTAGATCTTCATATAATCACAATAAAAACATTACAAATCAAATCAAATACAGGAACAAAACAAAGAACTGATCCAACATGTTCCCCATTTTAACATGAACTCATTCTGGTTCAGTTCACCTTTTCTTAAATAATCTAAGTGGGTCATCACAAGAAAACCGTTTACATTCAACTCTGGCAGGAGCAAAATACCAATTACCAAAAACAATAGTTGTTGTGTTTGCTAGAAAGAGGTGAGGAAGCTACATATGCTAATACGAATAAACAAAACAGCTCCAAAAGAAGAAGCAGAAATTCATGTTTCCTCAAATGTCGTACTTCATAACCAATCTATACCGCAACAGAAAATTAGTTTGCATAACGTGACAACAGATGTGTGCGCTTCCCGACTTTCATCCACACAGCAATGCATCTAAGTGGCTCTACTCGCTTCTTAAATAATAAGTGTTAAATGTTTGTGCCGTAAAAAAAAGTGTTAGAAAACATTACACAAAATAATATTGATATGTTCAGCGTTCTAAAAAAGGTGCAATTCAAATACCAGGTGTTCGGCTGAACAGACTGTGAAGATTGAGTCACAGAAAAGCCCAAGTCATAACAGCTACCCAGGCAAATAAACAGTTGGCACTCCAATTACGTTTTAGCCAGGTTGATCAGATAATCCTATTACAGCCTGAATGTAAATTAAGTCAACATGTTCTCAAGCTTAATTGCCCACAAAATCCCTAGCGTTAACTACATAAAAACAACAGCTGGGACGGAAACAAAATTGGAAAGTATGGAAAACAGTAAATAGTTCATAGGAGCTGCAGAAAGTACAGCTAACTTGAAAAGGATTGTGTTTTTGTACAGTGACAGTTCATATTATTCTCTGTGAAATATGAAGGAACTTTCACCTCTGTCCAGTTCTGTAACCTTTTATTCAGCTCGTATATCCTGTAGTCTGTCTGGTTCCCATACGGTGTGGGTCTCCTGAAACAGAAATCAGGATTCAACACTTCAACTGTTCAACAATTTCAACTGTTTCAGTGGTTTCTCTAAGCCCAAAGTGCAAACAAGTGAAACTGGCCATGGGCAGTCTCAAATTAAGCTTGTTCAGCTTTTTAGCATGAACAGAATGCACCCAGTATCAATGTTTTGTAAATTAGTACACCACATATCAGTGAACTCACCCCATTCCAGGCTCCATGTACGATGGCGGGTACATGGGTGTAGGCCTGAGAGAAAAATAAATAAAAAAAGAAACCTTTTTCTAAGAAGCATAAGCATGTCTTTAGTACATACAGCAACATGTCGTGTACCATGACTTTTACATTCTGATCTCAGAACTGCCAAAGAAGCCACTGTTTAGGACCAACTGCTGATTTCACAGCCCTCTTAATCTTAAAAAGACCGACAGAGGCTGCAGATACAAATCAACAGAACAAGATACAGACGAAAGATTAAAAAACTCAGCATTTGCAACAAGCTAGTAAACTTTTAAAGTGGGAAAAATCAGCATTGCATGAGAGCGCGACAGCTGTTACTTATAATTTAAGATGAATGTTACTTCTCTAATTTCCCATTTTTAAGGCACACATGTTAACCTGTCTGCTTCTGTGTGGTGATCTCTCATTTGATTTTATTCCAATATTTCCAGGGTTGCCCCCTGAAAACAGACTAGTCGAGTCATCAGTTGCTAGGCCTGTCAGCCAACGACGATTCTTGTAGGTTAACCTTTATTTTTATTTTATTTTTTGTCAGCCAGTGTGCGTTACAATAGACAGTAGTCTTAGCCCTTGTTATACCGTTGTCTTCTTCTCTTCATTTTGATGTGACAAGCAGCAATTTACTCAGTACTTCCTGCTGTGGTGGAGAGCGAATTCCCCCTTTAACGGTGACATGTGTGATGCATGGATGTATAAGGTCCAGCGATACTATTTCACTAAATGCTGCCCAGAACAAGGAGAAAAAGACAACAAAATCCACTAGGACAAGCCACATAATGGTGAGATTTGGATTTTATTAGAAGTGTTTTTAAACATTGCTGTCTAATTTTACAAGAAAAAAAGACTAAACGGTCACGACAATGTGCTTATAGAAAACATCGATGTTTACATTTTGCAGTGATGTCATCAGATTGCGAGGTGTTTGATTGATGGATCATTACACCCCTAGAATCGACTGACAACATTCTTAGTCAGGTACAGTCCTAGAGTGATGACACTGTGCTATCTGAAAAACGTGCTACTGAACAGAAGAAATGTAAGGTGCAAAATATCAGTACAGAAAATTACTTATACAAACTATTAACCACAAAAAACACGGTAAGCATATCTAAGAAAGCAAATTATATTTAAACTTACAGCTTGCAAAAAGCAAAACTGCAACATCAGAAAGTAATAAATGTCACATTCTAATAAATGAATTAATGCAAAAGGTGCCCTAGGTTTTTCCTTTTGACAGAATACGTCGTGCCCTGAGAGTATAAACCTGACCTACCCCACATCTCTGTCCAGCATAGCGCCTGGGTGGAAGGGGGGGAAGCTGCCGCCGTTGGGGGGCTCCTTAGGAGAGTACAGCTTGAATGACTTTGACGAAAAGCCTGCACACAAGCA